TTGAAACCATGTCCAATTCTTATTGAAATAATTTGTTATCTAAATCACTAACCTTTATGTTACTTTCAAATGCAATGTAAAAAAACTCTGCAATTTTTTCATAACTTTTTATTTTATAAAAGAATACATGTAATACATTTTTAATTCTTTGTAGACACCCTGACCTTTTTTGTCCAAGCAAAATTTTACTCTCAAATTTCTTGGCATAAATTTCAATATTTACTATATAAAGGTTTTAACATATAAATAACTATTTGGCAGTGTGTGTGTGTGTGTGTGTGTGTGTGTGTGTGTGTGTGTGTGAGAGAGAGAGAGAGAGCAGAAAAAAATAATCTTAAATATTTCTAAATTTTTTGGAAATCTAAAACAGTAAAAAGAATGGACTGTACAAAAAGTCTCAGTATGCTTACAAAGAGTAAATTACTTGTCTTTCACAACACGACGCAAGATCTAAATTGTAGCTTGTTTCTACAGAATTGAGAATTCAGGTCTTCACAAACGCGTTTTCAGGTCAATACGCTCGCAGGATGCGCGATGCGGGAAATATTGATGCACGCGGCGCGTCGCGACGCGTCGCGTTCGATTCGCTCGTAGAGAACTCGAATCGATACGCGGCGTGCGCGCCCGTTCACCACGTCCGTCCTGCCGGCTGTTCGGCTCTCTTCGGTCTACCATGCGTGAAGGCACCTTACGGTACATCGTAGCCGTCGCTGCGTTATGGGCACCATGCTTAGCCCCGTGGGCGTGCGGGAGGTTGTTGTACCGAAATCTCTCCCGACGCATCGTCTCCCAGAATAATCTTTCTCTCTCTGTCTCTTTCATACATATATTCTCTTTTATAATATATAATATATGCCTTTGATATTTTTACTGAAGAAAAACGAAAAAGTTGGCAAAGCAGATTTAAAAAGAAAGCGACCCGACAGGAGCCATACTTATAGTTGTGATAAATTTTTTATTAGTTAATTTACTTTACTAACATAAAGAATAACGTTTCCGATCTTTGGTCTTCATAAGTTTTTACACGAAATCAAAAATATTATAATTCTACATAATGAGTGAAAATGAGACAGCAATAAATTAATAATTATGATCAGAGACCACGTCAAATTTTAACAACTTGAAATGTAGTAAAAACTGAATAGAGTATACGTCGATTATTAAAATGAATATAACTATTTCATCAGTCGAGAAGCACAAAGCTGACAAGCCATTTAATACATTATTGCTGCAAATGAGCATTTTAGAAAGTTGTTAATGCAATTAGCAATTAATGTTATGAGCGTCAACTCATTAACAGCTTTCTTAGATTCTTGTTTGCAGTAATAATATTAAATTGCTTGCTTAATGTAATTTTATTGTGATATTGCTACTCCAACTTCGATTCAGAACTGTATTTTAAGACAAATATCAGCGTACAATTAGCTTAAAATTGTATAAATTCACAAGAAATATTATTAGGCACGAAAAACCGCCTTGATCGAATGTGGCGTTTTTTATTTAATAAAAGTGTGTTAAACTTTTAGCAAAACTGTTCTTTCTGTCATTTGTAGCTCAAAACTACTTACAGTTAATTTTTGTTGCCGCTGTTCCTCGGTTGGTTTTATCTATGAAAGGCTATTTTATGAAAGTCATAGATTAGGACAGCACGTAGTGTTTCTGCATACAACTACAAAGTTACAGGAGTTGCGCTCGAATCCTTGAATCGTGTTTACTAGGCGTTGGGTACCGCCGTAGTGGCTAAACGTAACGCTCGCATATACATCATTAGATAACAGAGCCAACGCGAAGGGAACGTGAAAGGTCTCTGGTTCACGGCGTGGCGACCGGTATCTTGCCGTATCGTTTCGTCGCGGCGGCGAGTCGGTTCTGGTTGCCAAGCAGCGACGGCGGCTGCTACCCAGGTGAAGCGAAAGAGAGAGAGAGAGAGAGAGGACCGTACTCCTCGTATCCTCGTTGCCCAACCATCTCGATTGTGGTCGTATATGGCGATTAGTGACGGAGAATACGCGTTATGAAGGGCACACGCACCCGCATCTCATTGCTTGCGGCATCATTTTGTGATTCTTTCAAGAATCAGTTCAAATCAATTTGGTTCTCTTTAGCGTCCTTTTATGGATTGAGAAGCAGAAGAGTATAATAATACTTCATCAATTTTCATTTGATATATAAATTATAATAAAATTTATTCAATTTAATATATAATACTTAATAAATAAATACTTAAATAATATATATGAAAAAAATGGTTTTGTTGAAATATTGAAAAATTTAGCTGTAAGATGTAAATTCGAAAATAATTTTGTTTGGACCATCAAAAAATACAGAACGCTAAAAAATTGGTTAGAATATTTTTTATAGCATTGCCATTAACACTTAAGCGTTTTACATAATTATTATATTTTAATGATTCAACAAATTTAAGATTTGTAACTAAAGAAAAATTTTTATTCTATATTTTTCCACCGTTAACGTGATAATAAGAAGCACTTTGTACGTACGTTCTCGAACGAAGTAATTGATGAGCGTAATTAAGCGAACATCGCATAAATATTCAGGAAAATGCTGTGACAAGTGCATGACACGTCCACGTATATAATTTTCCAAGATGCAGAGCAAGGTCCGCGAATGACTAAATGCAGACTCATGCAACATGAAAAATTATGGCAATGACATTGATCTTACTTATGGTGCTCTGACACATACATCATATGGAGGGAGAGTCAGCACCATTTATATCACATCATGGATGAATCATAACTAATGATAGTGAATCAAATTTATCTGCAATCAAAATTTTTGATCTGATTTAGTAGTGGCTGTATTAAATTGACGGCCAAAAGTTCAACATTTTGATAACACTTAATAAAAAAATTATAGCCTCGATAAAAAATATTAGACATTATATTAACTATCATAAAGTTTTATCTTAAAAATTGATTTATGATATTTTCAGTAAATCATCCTTTGTTTTAAGAACTCTTTAAATTTATGTATAACGCCGGTAATTAATAGATAACAATGCAGAGAGATAAAATAATTTTAGATAAATAAAAAAGTATAAGTTTCTAATATTTTCAATGGCCTTGCTGATAGTTCGAGATTCTGATAACATATTTACAGATATATATATTAAGTCTACATTATCTTGTATTAAGTCTACATAGCACGTTGTTTTATCAGACTTTCATAGATTGTATAAGGAACAATAATGTCCGCCGTTCGATATTTCATTTCGGTTGTTCTATAAAGTTGGAGAGTTTTCGATAGTTTGAAAACAGGGCCTCGTTTACGGCCCGTGGGTCGCAGGTCGCGGCTGAGTGACTCACAATACACGATCCCTGTCGCCATACGTAGATATCCGGATGACTTTTTTTTTCCCCTGGTAAACGAGTTCCCCGTCTAACCGGAAAACGCAGCACGCGCCGTCGCGTTGGTCCATACTTTGCGATGGAAAACTGGAGAATGGTCGATCGACTGGACAGCCGGAGATAAATCGCCACCGCCAGGCAGCAACCGTCTCGTATATGCGTGTATTGTGAAATAATATTTCAAGTATGCAAGTTGCGTCGGTGTTTGCGCAAACAGTCGCGACTTTAAATCAGCGCATCGATTAGAGTACAGTCCATATGGCAATCAGACTTTGTACGCCCACGTTATGGGCTCACCTCGTACTTTTTGATCCGCTTTCGTTTTGGAGATTTCATCGCGAGATAAGAAAAGTCGCATCATAGCCTGATTTCGTTGATCTTTCGATGGCTAATTTTTATTTTTAATTGATCAATTATGTTTGAATATAAATATATAGAATATGAAGAAATGAAAAAGGTTTTTATATTGATTTTAATTCACTACACATATTGAAATATATATATATATACATGTATATAAAAAAAATATGAAGAAAGAAAAATATAAAAAAAGTATAGAAAAGAGGTTCTAGAGTTCGACAATCCAAAAAAATAATAAAAATTTTATATTATTGGATCTTATGTTGTCAAGATCTAGAATTTTTTCTTTACACTTTCTATATTTTTTATATTTTCTATCTATATATATTTTAAGTACGGAAGGATGTAAAGTTGCCGGAACAAACCCTTGATAACATCAAAGATTCATGGGACTTAAGATGTAGTGGCAGCGCCAGGATACGATCATCTCGATCGAATTCCCGTGGGCCGGCACTACACTCGAGTTGTTATAAATAAAACCGAAAGACTCCTCGTGGTGGAAGGTACGGTGAAAAAGGAAAACGTGGGCGCGCGATCCCCGCGATCCCCGATATCAATCGCGAGGATCGACTGCCACGGGGGGAATGAGCCGAGCGAAACTCTCGATCTCGCGTGAACTTTATTATTTCGAGAGGCGATATTTCTTCGTCCGCTTCGTAGACGCACTATCACAATGATGTTGCGAAATTTCACTGCGATTCTTTCCGCAATATATCTTCCGATTTACTCAATCGATTTCACTTAATTTCATAGTAATAGAGAAACACAAACATATAAATCTGGTCACGACCGAATTTGTCAAAATCCTACAAGACAGGAAGATCTATATAATTTTTCCTTCCCTCCCTCCCT